CTGTTATCTTCTTTAAAATACCATATCTATGTGTGTCAGAGACAGTAGTGCATTTGTGTGTTTCCCAAACTGTTAAATACTGGTGTTAGTGTTACAGTGGATGCCTCGGGTGCCGATAAGGGCAATTACTAAAGATTCGGCAGCGGCGAAGACAACGATGAAATAGAAGGTTAGTTGCGTTTCCTTTACAGGACGTTGCAGAACCAACCCCAACAGCCCTTGGCTGTTCTGTGGTTTTTCTAGGCAAATTTACGTCCACTAGTTTGTATTGCTACTGGACGGTCGGCTTTCTTGATACCATTGTCAAAACCAACGCAAGGCGCATGGCCCGCCGCTGGGATCAAACCCGGCATCTCGGCATTACGAAGCGTTCGCATCGACTTAGCCACAAATGAAGTAGAAGACAGGATTTTAAATATAGTGCTGTAGTCCGACCCCTATTTCCACTAGGCCTACGTATAGGGCAGTTTCGGAGAACAAGACGAGGTAGAGGACGGGAGAATAAGACTGTTATTTCACTATCTCGGGCGAAGCCGGAAAATTAAGTATAGCAGTTTAATAAATAAATGCTATGGGACTTCTTGCATTTACTTACACACAAGTTATCTACAAGGTCCGACAATTAAGTAATGAGACTGTTTTAATTATGGCCCAGACGAAAAGCCTCAATGGATCAAAGCATGGAATCTAAAGAAGCAACCTTCATCTATGATCTGGCAACTTTTCATCGCCGCCCGATAAGCAGACAACAAACAAGCCGCCATTTTGTTAACCTAGTCAAATGTGCATTGTTACGTAATCAGCATGGAGCAAAAGGCTAACATTAAATTCTGTTTAAAACTCAGAAAAAGCGCCATTGCAAAAAGTTGAATTGATGCGACAAGTTTATGGGGATAATTGTTTATCTCGTGCACAGATTTCCAGCTAGTATTGACGATTCAAAAGTGATATGGAAATGATTACTAATGCAACTAGGCCTGGACGGCCAATTTCTGTTCGTAATGAAGAACTCATTGCAAAATTCAGAGAACGGATACAAGAAGAGCGCTATTCGACTGTGAGGATGATGGTAGATTCATTTGGTATTAATACAGAGACTATTCATACAATTTTAGTGGAAGATTTGGGCAAGAAAAAAGTTGCTTGTTGGTTTGTATTCAACACCTGGCAATTTAGTTTTTTTTTTTTTTTTACCTTCTTCATGAAAGTTCACCATCTTAAAGGGCGGTAGTTGTACAGGAATTTTTTGTCCAAAACAGATGCGTGTTCTCAACCATCCACCCTATTCCCCAGATTTGTCCCCATGTGACTATTTTCTTTTCCCAGAATTAAAGTTGCGATTAAAAGGACGCTTCTTTGACAATATTGATGGCATCCAAAGGGCCGTAACATCGACTTTTAGGGCCATAACCATAGAAGAACTACAGTGGTCGTTCCAGTGTTTGTTAGATCGTGCCACTCGCTGTATCAGTGCACAAGAGGCTTACTTTGAATAAAATACAGGTTATATCTTCAACTGTTAATTATTTTAATTTTTATGGAATTAGTCTTATTACTTAATTGTCGGACCTTGTATATCTCAGGTCTGTCCTGTTAAAATCTGTTTCAGGTAGTGTCCTGGGAAGTCAACGCGACAGGCGAGATGTTGAGTATGCTAACCACAGAATAATCTATAAAAATATGAATGAACCTAGCCTCATATGCTCCACACACTCCTAGCGGTAAAAAAAAAAAGAGGTCATTGTAAAACGGCTGTGCACGCAGCAGTGAAGTCCTGGAAGAAGACCAAATTCCAAGACCTTCCGTTAGAGTTTAAAACCGATGAAACTGGAGAATAAAACAGAACTCTTTCTTTACTTCTTCTTTTGTCAAAATCTGCTTGTGCCGCTAGGCGTCGCAGTCTATCAGATGATCGGCAACCGAGCCAGGGCGCGCTCAGTCGCTTCATATGCCGTGATGTTATGAAGTCTCAAGTTGTCCGTGACTCCTTCAATCCATCTTCTTCTTGGTCTTCCCCTGCCTCTTGGTGTTTCGATTTTCATGTTGTATGCTCTTGATGCTGGCATCGTTGGTTCCATTCTCATAAGGTGACCAAACCATTTCATTCTTTGCTTCTCAATAAATTTAACGATGGGTATGGTTCAAGTTCTTGTAATCAAATCGTTTCTCACTCTATCTCTTCTGGTTTTATTCACAGCCATTCTCAAACATCTCATTTCACAGGTGGTTAGTCTTCTCTCGTGTTCTTTTGTTAATGTCCAAGTCTGACATTGATAACCTAATGTCGGTATAAAGATTGTATTAATAAATTTGTCTTTTTATCTCAGCTGGGACAGCAGGGAGTTTTAAAATTGGGGCAAGCTGGTATGCGACATTGTTGGCTTGTTGGATTCTTGCTTCGATCTCTCTGTCTATTTTACCATTGGATGTAAAGATACTTCCCAAGTATCTTTCTTTACAACGTCTATTATTTCCCTCTTCCCTGCTACCGTTTGTAGTGACATGTACATCTATCGTAGGTCACATCTACGGCTACAAGGTTAGCAGACCTAATGGGTTGCGGCGTTTTGATTTCCTACTGCTGTAAGCTGCAGGCTGGTGATTATAAATTACACAACAGTTAACTGTCACACATGTTTTACACAAGCTTTCAGGAACACCATAAATGATTGTGTTGGGACACGATGTAGGGCTCTGAGGTGTTCTGGTTTACTATGTGATCATTGTAGTGTTTTCCGGAAATACTGCTTCTGGTTTGTAAGTTGTCTATAATAAAACTATGTCAAGTAAGAAAAGTAATGCATTGTAAAGTAAGTTAAATGAAGTAGTTATCGTAAAGTAAAAAAAGTAATTATAGTAAATACAAGAAAGAGTAATGTATTGTAAAGTAAAATATAACAAATTATTTTATTGTAAAATAACAAGACATGTAAAGTAAAATAAATTACTGAAAGATTACAAAATGTAAAGGTAAGGTAAAAGAAAGTCAGATCAGTAAATTAAACAAACTAAAGTCGGGTAACAATAAAGCAAAGTTAAAATTAATTAATGTGAAATGAAGTAAATCAAAATAAGCTAGATTTAAGGGAAGTCTAGTGAAATACAGCAAATGTAAAAATGTTTTTGAATGTACTCCGACTTAAAGGAAACGCCCCTTATTAGTCGAATTGTACGACACTCTTGTTAGGGAGTCAGCTACGCTTTGGTGCACTAGTGGCCCCTTTGGCTAGTCCGGTTTCTTGTAGTTTGGGCGACACTCGATAAGTGATTATATATATCTGGTCGTCTTCATATTTCTTTCTTTGTTCCCACTTCAGTTTGGGGTTGCCAGCAAAGCCAAATAGATTGGAAATAAAAAAAAAACATTAATAAAGATTTCAGCCTATAACAATTTTGGCCAGTTTGTTTATCGAGCGATCAATTTTTTTTTTTTTTTTACGTATCCAGAAACCACGAGTTGTAAACCCTTTGGCTCGGTACTATGGATATCGCAACCCTTCGGCATTGATTCCATTATAAGTACCGTTAATCTGGGAGAAATGTGGCTTTTCTGCCTACCCCCGGGAGTGAACCCGGACCACAAGGAGTTCGTCACCCGGCCGCCTCGAAAGTCAGGTTTAACCAACTTCGCTAGAGAGCCGGATCGATCAGTCGGTGCGTTGATCTTGCTTAATCGGTCGATCTGTCTGTTGATTCCATGATCAGCCGTTCTGTCTGACTATTGGTCTTTTCACAGATGTGTCTGTCAGTTGATCTCTAGGCTAGTTTGTCTGCTTTTTAGAGCAAAGTCTGTTGTTTGCATATTTCTAGGTGACGTGGCTGGTACACCTGTCTGTTGATCACTGCACCTGTTTACCTGTCTGTTGATCACTGTATCTGTTTACCTATCTGTTGATCACTGCACCTGTTTACCTGTCTGTTGATCACTGTATCTGTTTACCTGTCTGTTGATCACTGCACCTGTTTACCTGTCTGTTGATCACTGCACCTGTTTACCTGTCTGTTGATCACTGCACCTGTTTACCTGTCTGTTGATCACTGCACCTGTTTACCTGTCTGTTGATCACTGTTCCCGTTTGTCTCTCTCTCTCTCTCTCTCTCTCTCTCTCTCTCTCTCTCTCTCTCTCTCTCTCTCTCTCTCTCTCTCTCTCTATCGCTGTGCTGTTTATCTGTCGTTTAGTCATGAACTTCATTTCTATCTATTTTGCAGAATATCAGAAAAGCAGTGCCACGATACCCACTAGCTCCCATTATGCTTTATATTAATTGTCGTGGTATGAACAACAAATCTTGCGTTCTTTTGGGTGACAAACGGAAAGGTAAATCCCCCCCCCCCCCCCAATCCCTCCTTGCATATTTCAATGCTATTTTTGATGTAAAGGGATTAAACACACTATACTCTATTCTAGTACAGCATAATGTGACTGACTCAAACAACAGGTCGCGCCTGTTTTTGCTGTAGAAATTAACACTGTTGCCAGTGCAAGCGATGCGCTTTCTTGTTACAGACGTCTGGATACATTCTATAATAGCACAAGTTCGAGGTAATATACCCACGCCCCCTCCCCCTCCCAATTTATCCGACACGTTTTTCTTCTGTTTTTCTGTACTTTTTGTTTAATATTGCTTGACAAAAAGGCAGATGAGTATATAGATAGTAAACAGACAGATACACGGGTGAATGCATTTGATTTTTGATACCATGCGAGGACTGCTAAAATTGTCTATTCTCCTCCTCTTCCTCTTCTTGTTTTTGTTATTATTATAATATTATTATTATATTATTATTCGTCTCATCATCCTCCTTCCCACTTCCGTCTCCTTCTCGTGCTCGTTCTAGTTCTCGCCTTCTTCTATCTTCTTTTCCTTGCTCTTCTGCACTTTCTTCTCATTCTCCTTTGTTGCGGCTTCTGCCCAAAATAACCATGATGCAGCATGGTTGAAACTTCATCAATCTGAACAATTTCAATGACTTCTGTTCTGCCTGCAGTGAGCATTAAATGGAGAACTCAAGCCCTGGTCGATCACTGAAAGAGGAGTTTCGGCCGAGCAAGTTTGGTCTTGCCTATCCTGACCCTGATGCCTTTGTGAGATCGCAGGTGAGCCCAATGCACAACATGTTATCAGCACCCCTGTCTTCATCCTCACCATCAGCACCACTGTCTTCATCCTCACCATCAGCACCACTGTCTTCATCCTCACCACCACCACCACTGTCTTCATCCTCACCATCACCACCACAGTCTTCATCCTCACCATCACCACCACTGTCTTCATCCTCACCACCACCACCACTGTCTTCATCCTCACCATCAGCACCACTGTCTTCATCCTCACCATCACCACCACTGTCTTCATCCTCACCATCACCACTGTCTGCATCCTCACCATCACCACCACTGTCTTCATCCTCACCACCACCACCACTGTCTTCATCCTCACCATCACCACCACTGTCTTCATCCTCACTACCACCACCACAGTCTTCATCCTCACCATCACCACCACTGTCTTCATCCTCACCATCACCACCACTGTCTTCATCCTCACCATCACCACCACTGTCTTCATCCTCACCACCACCACCACTGTCTTCATCCTCACTATCACCACCACAGTCTTCATCCTCACCACCACCGCCACTGTCTTCATCCTCACTATCACCACCACTGTCTTCATCCTCACCACCACCACCACTGTCTTCATCCTCACTATCACCACCACTGTCTTCATCCTCACCACCACCACCACTGTCTTCATCCTCACCATCACCACCACTGTCTTCATCCTCACCACCACCACCACTGTCTTCATCCTCACTATCACCACCACAGTCTTCATCCTCACCACCACCGCCACTGTCTTCATCCTCACTATCACCACCACTGTCTTCATCCTCACCACCACCACCACTGTCTTCATCCTCACTATCACCACCACAGTCTTCATCCTCACCACCACCACAACCATCAACATCAGTAGCAGCAGCAGTATGCTCGTAATCATCATTATCATAATTCTGTTGTGTCCCTAAACTCCACATGGAGCTTACAGCCTATTCCTCCTCTGCTTGCTATCCACTTCAATCTTTTCGATCCGTGGATAGAATCCAGGCAAGCACCTACAACGTCTCTCATCAACGTTCATCTCAGGCTTTTACGGTAGGCCTCTTTGTTCTGGTAAACTCAAATATCATCATTGTAAATGCATACAGTCTATTCTGTTAAAATTTTAGTCGCATATAATTTTAATGAAACGATGAGATGATGTTGTATTCATCATCCCGATATGGGATGCAATGTTTTGTTATTTGAAGCCCCAACTTTGCTGTTGCCGGGGGCCCTGGGTACAGTCGGGGCATAGATATGATCTAGCTATAGATATGACCTAACGGATGAAAGGGGTTTCTGAGACCTCTCCACGGGTGATCCTCACCCACATGCTGGCACTTTGTGTTACCGGGTGTTTATCGCTTGTTTGATGTCCTGGTGGGGCAAAGCGACCAACCAACCAGATGATGTCTCCGCAATTAAGGTTGGCTGCAGTGGATCGTCAACACTCTCTGACTCGTGTCTTCGTAGTACACTCTCCCTCATTGCCCCGCGTCTCAATTTTAAAGTTTTCCTCCCATTTCTATCTTTTCAGAATTTCATAAGCTGACCTCACTATTTATTGGTTGTTGTGTCGTTTTGCTAATCAATTTGTCTCTCAATAGTTTGTCTTTTTTTTTTTTATTTGGTTGATGACACTTGGCTCCTACTACTGTTGAAATCAACGTAATGCGCTCTCCTACCAAATCGCCTGCAGCTGAAATAAAAAAAAGCGCCATGTTGGGATTGTGAAACAGCGTCCACAACTGTTAACCCACATACGTCAATGTCTGCTCGTTGGCTGTCTTAATTGCATCGACTCATCCACATACCCACCATTCCAACTATTCTGTTTGTCTGTTTATGTGTTATGAAAGGCAGAAATAATGGTGGTATCAAAGGAAAGAATTGTTCCTAAATGTTTAATAAAAGTAAATGGTGTTTTTTTTTTTTTGGGACAAGTACAGAAATGTAAGTAAGTATCTTTGCACATGGATAACATCAGGTGGAAGGTGCATTACTGAGATAAGAAACAGAAAAGAACAGTCAAACGCTGAATTTTTTTAAAATGATGAACATCTTATGCAATATATCTCTGTCATTGAAGGTTAGAAAAATACTTCTTGCTTGCTACACACATCCAGTTTCAACATATGGCTGTGAATCTTGGACAATCGGTAGACAGGCTAAACAATTTCTTGAGGCCTCTGAGATGTGGTTTCACAGAAGAATGCCTAAAATACCTTGGGGAAAAAAAAGCAAAGAGGTTTTTAAAGTGGTGGGAGCCCGAAGACAACTTATCACAGACATCAGAATGAGACAGTCCTCATTTTTCGGCCATGTTATGAGAAAAAATTAAAAATGGAACATGTTGTGACCGCTGGAAAGATCCGTGTAAGGAGAAATAAAGAAAGACAACGAGAGAATATTCTTGACAGTCTTGTTGCATGGCATGGAGGTGTGTCGGCACACGAACTGATCCATGCTGCAGGAGATCGCAGATTGTGGAGAGGGAATTCGCCCACGTCAGTCGGCAAGACACCTGACGATGATGATGATGTGTGATGTGCGAGACATGTCATATGTGGTACCATGCAGAGACCACATCACCAATGGCGAAGTTCTCCTTATCATCAATGAACACAATAGCAACTATCAAGCTGATAATTTAGTGGTACGTACCTTAACTAAATCTAATAGGTTCTCCAAAACGAGGCTAAAAGCTCAGTAGACGGAAAGAGGAGGAGAAGCAGACTATGAAAACCATAAATACAGAATTTGAATGAAAGGACAGGTCTCAGACATACAAATATATACTCCGTTGCTTCTGGCCGACAAAGGTGAAATAACTGACCAGACAGTCAATAGCAACTGGTGACCCAACAACGCGTGTTGCTATGGGGCTCTGATGCTATGTCCTGTCTGTATTCGGCCCACAGTAAGTGATGTGATCAATATATCAGTATTTGTATTTCCTTCCCAGGGAATTTCCTGGTACCTATTTTAACTTGGCCTATTAGTCAATAAAAAATAATTGAAAAAAAAAAAACAGAAATGATCTCTGTGAAAAAGATTAGTATGCTTTGGCCTACTGGCAATCGTGCAGCCTCGTAAGTCTTAGCAGTGGTGGTGTTAGCAGTAGCAGCACTAATAGTGGTAGTGGTAGCAGCAGCAACAGTAGTAGAGCAGCGGCAGGAGTCATGGTAGTAGCAGTAGCAACACTAATAGTGGTAGTGGTAGCAGCAGCAACAGTAGTAGAGCAGCGGCAGGAGTCATGGTAGTAGCAGTAGCAACACTAATAGTGGTAGTGGTAGCAGCAGCAACAGTAGTAGAGCAGCGGCAGGAGTCATGGTAGTAGCAGTAGCAGCACTAATAGTGGTAGTGGTAGCAGCAGCAACAGTAGTAGAGCAGCGGCAGGAGTCATGGTAGTAGCAGTAGCAACACTAATAGTGGTAGTGGTAGCAGCAGCAACAGTAGTAGAGCAGCGGCAGGAGTCATGGTAGTAGCAGTAGCAACCACTAATAGTGGTAGTGGTAGCAGCAGCAACAGTAGTAGAGCAGCGGCAGGAGTCATGGTAGTAGCAGTAGCAACACTAATAGTGGTAGTGGTAGCAGCAGCAACAGTAGTAGAGCAGCGGCAGGAGTCATGGTAGTAGCAGTAGCAACACTAATAGTGGTAGTGGTAGCAGCAGCAACAGTAGTAGAGCAGCGGCAGGAGTCATGGTAGTAGCAGTAGCAGCCCTAATAGTGGTAGTGGTAGCAGCAGCAACAGTAGTAGAGCAGCGGCAGGAGTCATGGTAGTAGCAGTAGCAGCACTAATTAGTGGTAGTGGTAGCAGCAGCAACAGTAGTAGAGCAGCGGCAGGAGTCATGGTAGTAGCAGTAGCAGCACTAATAGTGGTAGTGGTAGCAGCAGCAACAGTAGTAGAGCAGCGGCAGGAGTCATGGTAGTAGCAGTAGCAGCACTAATAGTGGGTAGTGGTAGCAGCAGCAACAGTAGTAGAGCAGCGGCAGGAGTCATGGTAGTAGCAGTAGCAGCACTAATAGTGGTAGTGGTAGCAGCAGCAACAGTAGTAGAGCAGCGGCAGGAGTCATGGTAGTAGCAGTAGCAGCACTAATAGTGGTAGTGGTAGCAGCAGCAACAGTAGTAGAGCAGCGGCAGGAGTCATGGTAGTAGCAGTAGCAGCACTAATAGTGGTAGTGGTAGCAGCAGCAACAGTAGTAGAGCAGCGGCAGGAGTCATGGTAGTAGCAGTAGCAGCACTAATAGTGGTAGTGGTAGCAGCAGCAAACAGTAGTAGAGCAGCGGCAGGAGTCATGGTAGTAGCAGTAGCAGCACTAATAGTGGTAGTGGTAGCAGCAGCAACAGTAGTAGAGCAGCGGCAGGAGTCATGGTAGTAGCAGTAGCAGCACTAATAGTGGTAGTGGTAGCAGCAGCAACAGTAGTAGAGCAGCGGCAGGAGTCATGGTAGTAGCAGTAGCAGCAGCAGTTATAATAGTAGCAGCAGCAGCAGCAGGAGTCATGGTAGTAGCAGTAGCAGCAGCAGTTGTAATAGTAGTAGCAGTAGCAGGAGTCGTGGTAGTAGCAGTAGCAGCAGCAACAGTAGTAGAGCAGCGGCAGGAGTCATGGTAGTAGCAGTAGCAGCAGCAGTTGTAATAGTAGCAGCAGCAGCAGCAGCAGGAGTCATGGTAGTAGCAGTAGCAGCAGCAGTTGTAATAGTAGTAGCAGTAGCAGGAGTCATGGTAGTAGCAGCAGCAGCGGCAGGAGTCATGGTAGTAGCAGCAGCAGCAGGAGTCATGGTAGTAGCAGTAGCAGCAGCAGTTGTAATAGTAGCAGCAGTAGCAGGAGTCGTGGTAGTAGCAGCAGCAGTAGCAGGAGTCGTGGTAGTAGCAGCAGTAGCAGGAGTCGTGGTAGTAGCAGCAGTAGCAGGAGTCGTGGTAGTAGCAGTAGCAGCAGCAGTTGTAATAGTAGCAGCAGTAGCAGGAGTCGTGGTAGTAGCAGTAGCAACAGCAGTTGTAATAGTAGCAGCAGTAGCAGGAGTCGTGGTAGTAGCAGTAGCAGCAGCAGTTGTAATAGTAGCAGCAGTAGCAGCAGTTGTAATAGTAGCAGCAGTCGTGGTAGTATTTAGTTGATAATGATTGATTAAGTGTTTGAACCTGCGGTATCTTATAGACGCCTATCAGGTTAGTTAGTTGCGTATCCTCTACGGGACGTTGCAGAACCAACCCCAGCAGCCCCTGGCTGTTGTGTAGTCTGCCATTGCTTTCGGTCGCCTATCAGGAAAGCAAAATATCATAATACTTTAAACCACCATGTATGTCATATAAGTTGATTCTGTAGAACTGGCCTAATATTGTTTGCCTCTTTCTGTAAAAAATGTAACTATAAAATCCGACTAAACATGAACAAGTTTGAAGGGTCCTAATGTTATCTGACTGAGACCCCATGCTCCATTTGGAAATCTAAAAGAGAAGAATTAAAAAGAGGTAAGAAAAGCTAGCTTATGATGATTATTAATCAGAATCGTTCTTATGTTGTGTAGTCTGCCATTGCTTTCGGACGCCTATCAGGAAAGCAAAATATCATAATACTTTAAACCACCATGTATATCATATAAGGTGATTCTGTAGAACTGGCCTAATATTGTTTGCCTCTTTCTGTAAAAAATGTAACTATAAAATCCGACTAAACATGAACAAGTTTGAAGGGTCCTAATGTTATCTGACTGAGACCCCATGCTCCATTTGGAAATCTAAAAGAGAAGAATTAAAAAGAGGTAAGAAAAGCACGCTTATGATGATTATTAATCAGAATCGTTCTTATGTTGTGTAGTCTGCCATTGCTTTCGGACGCCTATCAGGAAAGCAAAATATCATAATACTTTAAACCACCATGTATATTATATAAGTTGATTCTGTAGAACTGGCCTAATATTGTTTGCCTCTTTCTGTAAAAAATGTAACTATAAAATCCGACTAAACATGAACAAGTTTGAAGGGTCCTAATGTTATCTGACTGAGACCCCATGTTCCATTTGGAAATCTAAAAGAGAAGAATTAAAAAGAGGTAAGAAAAGCACGCTTATGATGATTATTAATCAGAATCGTTCTTATGTTGTGTAGTCTGCCATTGCTTTCGGTCGCCTATCAGGAAAGCAAAATATCATAATACTTTAAACCACCATAAGGTGATTCTGTAGAACTGGCCTAATATTGTTTGCCTCTTTCTGTAAAAAATGTAACTATAAAATCCGACTAAACATGAACAAGTTTGAAGGGTCCTAATGTTATCTGACTGAGACCCCATGTTCCATTTGGAAATCTAAAAGAGAAGAATTAAAAAGAGGTAAGAAAAGCACGCTTATGATGATTATTAATCAGAATCCTTCTTATGTTGTGCCATTTTATGTCACATTGCTCCCGCAGCCTACCCCTGTATTCCGTTCCATTTACCGTAAAAGGCGTCCTTACCTATTGGATTATGTAGCAAAGCTTTTTTTTTTTTTTTTTTGTTGCATGGTAAGAAGCTGGCTTCAGGCACAATACTCATAATTTCTCATATTTTCTTGGGACCAGCAGTAACGGAGATATTAATAACCACACTTCTAATAAAACTTCCACAGTGGCACCAACCCAAATGGTTCTATTTTATATGGCGGCTCTTTTGGTTCCTGTGGCACATTGGCTGGATAATTGCCAGTGGCGTATACACTCGGAAAAACCAGGCCAGATATCCAGAAGAGGGAGCTAAGTGGTTCATCTACTTCACAAACATCACCTTACTACTGACTACGCTAACATGTACAGTGGACTTTCTCATTGTGTTGTACGTCAGTGCATTGAGAGGCGGAACTGTGTTGGGTAAGTAATTTATTTTCATGTCTTTACGTTGGTAAAGCCGATTTTCCCCCAGCCATATCAGTAGCAAAAACCAAACAGAAAAATCGAATAGGTATTTTTGCAACGCCTCATCTGTCAGAAACAACACTCCGGCCCTGTATATCAGATTTTATGTTATTTAAGCGGGAGGATTTGTCGGTTGTAATTTTATGGTATTGAATTTAACGAATACACCGCTATATATATTTGTTGTTGTTTCCGTGTTTAATTAGTGTCAGGTGGGCCGCGAAACAATTGAGAGTTTTGATAGGAAGTTCTGGTCAAAATGGACGCTAGGCCCGGCCACTGATTTGAGTCGTGGCAAAGTTTTTGCTTCTGTCAGACGATGGCCGTTGCATTTGTGCTCCATTTGTAGACTGAAAGGATATAGTTTCGTCGCCCAGCTACTAAGTTGAGTGCATGGTGCGACCCTGTAAGCTGCGGATTTTATTTGGAATGTTTTTCGACTGTGACCAACGTGGTGTTGTGAATTGAAGATTCAGAAAATGGCGCGTGGCCTGTCGTCGCAATATTGGTGGTGCCCGTATGTGATTATAATTTATCGCGTGTGCAGTTGCTGATTTGTTGGTTACCTCTTGCAACATATTTCCAAACACTGAATACGCTGACTCTTGGCAGTAATGTTATTTCCAATATCTAACAAGACCACGCAGTCTATCCTTAATTACCAAACTTATTTCCACAGACCAAAAGCGAAAGGTGTGGCGGGGAGGGAGGAAAACGGTAGAAATAAGCAATACACTTTCTGTTACTCGATTAGATATAAGCTGAACGTTTCATCTGAGGTCCTTATCAGTGACTAAATTACAGCTGAAAATCCCAAACACCAGCTCTAAACGAGGGATTGGGGGCTGGGGAGGTGAGGGTGGGGAGGGGGTGGGTCGTATTTTGTATTTAGTGAATTTATTTACACTGTACTTGTTTGGTTAGTTAGTCAAGGTTCCAACATCATGACAAACGGGTCATGGACGTTCCTGTGCTAGTAGAATTCACACAAAATACCTATCACTTTCCCTTTTGAAAACTGGGCAGAGAAAGAAAAGTAGAAGAAGAGGAAGAAGAAGAAGAAGAAGAAGAAGAAGAAGAAGAAGAAGAAGAAGAAGAAGAAGAAGAAGAAGAAGAAGAAGAAGAAGAAGAAGAAGAAGAAGAAGAAGAAGAAGAAGAAGAAGAAGAAGAAGAAGAAGAAGAAGAAGAAGAAGAAGAAGAAGAAGAAAGAAGAAGAAGAAGAAGAAGAAGAAAAAAAGAAGAAGAAGAAGAAGAAGAAGAAGAAGAAGAAGAAGAAGAAGAAGAAAGAAGAAGAAGAAGAAGAAGAAGAAGAAGAAGAAGAAGAAGAAGAAGAAGAAGAAGAAGAAGAAGAAGAAGAAAAAGCAGTTCCAGCAACACTTAGAAGATCGCACAAGTAAAGTACCTGTAAATGCATAAAACAGCTGCCAGATGTGCCAGATGTGCCAGTGTTAACAGTCTCCTACCGGAATTGTAGCTCATTGTTGATAAAAGCACTTAATCACGACACGCAGTATTTGCACACGATTACTGTATAAAATATACCAGACGTAGTCACCGGCCATTTTAGTGCGGTTGCAAATGTAAAACAACAGCGGGATAAAAAACATCGTTAAAAAAATTACTGCGATGGTATTATGATAAATTCTTATATTTCTTTCATTATGTAATAGATTTGCCTGTTACAACCCAGAAACAGAGTTCTGCTAACTCATCACAGAACGGAAGTTCTGAAAACGAAGAAATCATCTTTCGTGGGCAATTTACTCTGGATAATGGTTTAAAGATGCGTGAGTAATAATCGTGTTATTTCGTTGATTATATCAGTAGATGCAATCGTGACAGTTTTACTCAAAAGGCACTACAGAGTTCGAGAAAAGCTAGCGTGCTTTCAATCGATTAAAAGGGGCATTTGCATGTGCAACTTCTAAATATAGTCAGAGGGCAAACAAAGCACAAGAGTGATTACAAACGCAGCTTCTGGGACGGACTGATCACCATCAGGTGTATTGCCCAATGGTATGGATGATCTAGCTTCTTCACAATTGGTGAGGTAGGTAGGGGCTTTTGCTGGTGGGAAGAAGGGGGAGGGGGGGGGGGGGAAGTCGTCACGTTTAACTAGCATCCCCGAAGGGGAAGCCTAAGGTTATAAATTGTGACTAGGTTATGTGCGCCATATAAATTGGCTTAGAATGGCACTCCACCAAGAGCCCTGAAAAGGACTCCTGCAGTGTTGATGCGATCAAAGGAGACAGACCCAAATATTTTCCCGACCGAGGTGCCTATGCTCAATTTAGGGATAGAAAGGCAGAAGAAGAAGAAAATCATTCGCTCTGCCTGCCTTGTTGTACTCCAAAGATAACACCAATGCATTTGGTACAAAGTATACTACAGAAGCTGCCTGCTCAGAAGAATAGCTCTGGTCTCTCCAAAACCTCGCCATTTGATTATTCTAACGTTACATTAGCTGAAAGTAAATTACATATAACTGTCAAGTGACGCTGACATTTGATGTTATTTTGTCTGAGAATACTACAGGGGAAGTAGTAGAGGGGAGGAGCAGAGGATGCAGACCATGAAAGATCTGGTTACAGAAACGTGACTGACTGGACAGGCCTTAGGCATGTAACCGTAAAGCCTATTGCATCTGACAGCCAGTGGTGAAGGGCGCCATCAGTCAAGATGAGAAACTCAGATTGTCTGTTGTATAGTCTGAGAAACTCAGATTGTCTGTTGTATAGTCTGAGAAAATCAGATTGTCTGTTGTATAGTTTGAGAAAATCAGATTTTGTGTTGTATAGTCTGAGAAAATCAGATTTTGTGTTGTATAGTTTGAGAAAATCAGATTTTGTGTTGTATAGTCTGAGAAAATAAGATTAGTGTTGTATAGTCTGAGAAAATCAGATTTTGTGTTGTATAGTCTGAGAAAATCAGATTTTGTGTTGTATAGTTAGAGAAAATCAGATTTTGTGTTGTATAGTCTGAGAAAATAAGATTAGTGTTGTATAGTCTGAGAAAATCAGATTTTGTGTTGTATAGTCTGAGAAACTCAGACCGTGTGTTGTATAGCCTGAGAAACGTCAGATTGCGTGTTTTATTGTCTGAGAAACTCACAGTGTGTGTTGTATAGCCTGAAAAACTAAGACCGTGTGTTGTATAGTCTGAGAAACGTCAGACTGTGTGCTGTGTTGCCTGAGAAACTCAGACTGTGTGTTGTATAGCCTGAGAAACGTCAGATTGTGTGTTGTATTATTGCCTGAGAAACTCAGATTGTGTAATGTATGTTGCAGATACAACCCCCTGGTATGTGAAACTGCTGTGGCTGATGTACAACGTTATATCAAGCGTCAACATCGTCATCACTGTGGTCTACTGGGCGGTCGGGTATCACGGTAAGGTCGTCGCTACATGTTGTCTTTGTTGTAATCATGCCAGCAACCAGAGGCGTAACCAGGCTACACAGTTAATGGACGTGAGAAATGTAAAAACAGTGTCAGGATACCTATCAGACTAGTGAATACGAAAAAGAACTTTTATCGCAAAAGGGAGCTTGTCAACTCACCTCTGTTTTTTTCTTCTTCGCATTCAATGGCTGTAAACTCTGGCGGTAACTTCTGGTTGTTTGTCCACTTCTAGTCTTTGGTCTTGTTCCAGGGCTTGAATTTTGTGTTTTACACATCTGGCTAGTATGTGAGCAGATGCCACAATGGCACCCTGAGAAGACAGTGCCGTGATTTGGCTCCACCAATAGTTCGCGCAGACGTGAAAGCATTGGCGGAGAAACACACATCACCGGAAGATGCTGTTATATACACATAAAGTTCTGTGATTCGTCAGAAACGAAGTGCATGAGCTTTCTCAACAAGAACCACATAGAAATTCATTAAAAAAGACAGTGGAGCCTTTGTTTTTACCACCAGTAGAATGACAACGGAGGTCATGGCTGTGACAAAAGCTATAGAATGGCTAAAAACCCAGGAGTCCACAGAACATGTTTGCTCAGCGATTCAATGAACATACAGAAGATCACGATCAAACGGAAACAGTGGCTCCATCTGATACAGCACGCAGCGTTTCGCAAAATTACCTTCATTTTTGTTCCAGGATATGTTGTTGTGAAAGGCAATGACTAAGCAGATGCCCTGGCTGGCAGTACGAATATAAAAAATGAGCCGTGTATGTCAGTGCCACTATCAGGAATGGGCCCTCTATGGACAGGAGAGACATCATCACCGACATACGAGAGGCTAAACGCTGTGAGGCTTTCAGTTTCCTGGAAAACGACTTTCCACTCAACAGACTGCATACACTGGGTGTACCAATTGAAGCGGCGAGACTGGAAAACTATGCGGGAGCCACCCATCATTACATCAACCAGAACATACTGAAAGTTATTAGCCTAAAACACTTGGAAACATTACTCAGGATTAGATCGTAGATCTGATGGTCATGTCCGATGAAGATGATCTCAAAAAGGAACAATGAAGAACGATCAATGCCTCTCAGACAACGCACCCCGGCTTCATACGAAACAACAAGCCTGTCTACGTTGTTGAGGTATACGATTGAGGAAACTTTCTAAAATGACTGGAGATGGAATGGTGGGTCTTGACCTGTGTGAACCCAGGTCTCAGTGCACCACCAAGTGTAGTTGAGCAACTCTGCATCCAGAGCTTAGCATCATTTTCAAAAGAGTAAAATACGAACCTAAACCTACAGCTGCTGTGAATCATGTACTGGGTTTACTGATTTCAGGGCTAACTATGGAAACATACCACTGCTGCGAAATCAGCCAGACAACCAGCCTTTCCCTGCAGTCGCCCATACTCATGCTGGCTAGCCCAATGTGCAGAGTCACAACAGCTGGGTAGGTCTCCTACAGGGTCCGTCCGGAAGTCAAACAGAGACAAATACTGACTGACTGACATACTTTCTACCACACTAGGACATCACACAAGCAATAAACACCCGATGACACAAAGTGCCACCATGTGGGTGAGGATCGCCATGGAGAGGTCCCAGAAACCGCGTTCAGACAATTGGCCATATTTATGGCCTGCCTGTATTGCGGCCCCTGGCAAAAGCTAGGGTGGGGCTTTAAATAACAACAAATTTCATACTAAAAAGGACGGAAGTATTAAACGAATTTACCGTTAGACAGATACTGAGTGAGCTAGCCTTTTTATACACAGTGACTAGACTTTTCCGCATTTGTAAACCAAGGTATCCTCGCAAACAAACCAAAATCGTCAAGCTGCTGAACAGCAGTCTTTGGCGTTCTCGAGCCTATCACATTAGTATGATATTTCCCCGTGCGTATTAACGAATGCACGAAGAAAGCCGAAATTGAGCTTTTCGAGACCACGTAAAAAACTCTAATAATAATAAATTATGAGAAGAGCCTCTCATCTACAATACTTTGAAAAAATAAAAATAAAACCAATTTGTAGGGGGAGGGGGAGGGGGGAGGGGGGCGTCTTGTTAAAACGCAGCAGAGCAGGTTGCCAGGGCGCTACATAATCAAGTGCTGCACCACATTCTATTCTTCCCCGCCAATCTTGACTAAAAAAGCGGAAGATAGTGATTAGATAGTGATTAGATAGTGATTAGATAATGATTAGATAGTGATTAGATAGTGATTAGATAGTGATTAGATAGTGATTAGATAGTGATTAGATAATGATTAGATAGTGATTAGATAGTGATTAGATAGTGATTAGATAGTGATTAGATAGTGATTAGATAATGATTAGATAGTGATCAGATAGTGATTAGATAGTGATTAGATAATGATTAGATAGTGATTAGATAGTGATTAGATAGTGATTAGATAGTGATTAGATAGTGATTAGATAGTGATTAGATAGTGATTAGATAGTGATTAGATAGTGATTAGATAGTGATTAGATAGTGATTAGATAATGATTAGATAGTGATTAGATAATGATTAGATAGTTATTAGATAATGATTAGATAGTGATTAGATAGTGATTATATAGCGATTAGATAGTGATTAGATAGTGATTAGATAGTGATTAGATAGTTATTAGATAGTGATTAGATAGTGATTAGATAGTGATTTCGTGGGTCAAAATCACACTGGCCGCCTTTATTTCCCATGACTTTATATAGAACTCATTTAAGGCATGGAAGCCAAGGTTACGTTTGAAGAAAATCTGGCTCCATGCAGATATGAACCAACGACCTTCGGATCCGTAGGCGAGCGTCTAACCGTTACACCACTGTGGCTACAAATACTGAAATGGGAAAAGGTGGGGGGGGGGCAGGGGGTGCTCTTAATAAAGTGATAACCCACAAGGGTCGAAAAGGACATCGCTGTTTTAATTACTTCTATATTATATTGTTCTTCTTAAAGTCCAAGCTTTGAGGCGTTGTTAGTCATCTCTATCCACAACCTTCTGTCTCGTGTACTTTCAGTCAACTTTGCCACAGATGATCCTTCATCCCACGATGTCAATGTGTCCAGCATCTTTTCTCTGGGTCTCCCTCTACCCCCCCCCCTCCCCTTTCAATTCACGTTGCACACCAGTTTTCTCCTTCAAATCACATGACCAAGGAATGTAAACTGTCTCTTTTTGATGTGGGCAATCAGTTATCTTCGTCAGCCGTTTTTTTTTTTTTTTTTTGTTCAAGACATGCTCATTGCTCTTTTTATCTGTCCATGGTATTCTCAAAATTCGGCTGTAAAACCACATCTCCGCAGCTTCTAAACATATTGTAGTGTAAACGATTTGGTTAAAATCTCTCCCCAGCTGGCAACACAGATGTTATCAGCGTGGAAGCACACACCATCAACTCTGCATTCATCATCCTCAACATCCTGGTCACAGCTATGCCCATCCAGATTCTGCACTGCATTTACCCCATGGTATACGCCGCCTTGTACTTCTTATTCAACTTTATCTACATCGTTGCAGGAGGCACGGATCTTCAAGGGCGTACCGTCATCTATAGTTCTGTAGACTGGAACAAACCGTTCCCTACAGCTGTTGTTGTCACTCTGGGAGTTCTTCTAGCGGTTCCCGTGGGACATGTGTTAGTGTTTGCTATATACACACTGAGAGTTTTCCTGTATTCAAAAGTGAATTCTGCGTCGTATTCTTTACGGGAGAGCTGCCTTAGACTCACGAACAGAACTGTGGATGTAAATAATCCACACGGGAATGAAAATATAGAAATGACTAATAGTGCAGCTGTGTGAGTTTGATCAGTGAACGCCACTAGGAAGATAATATTGCTGAGATGTGATTCCATACATAAATATAGGATGATTAATTATAAGCGAGATGCCACCGTATGACTGAATTTACATGCAGTATATAGAAGGACTTTTTCGGAAAGAGCCATAGAAGTAAAAAAAAAAAAAAAAAAAAAAGATTTTTACTTATGCTTCATTGACTATACAAAGGCATTTGATTCTATGAAACAGAAGATATCGCGAGATATTCGATAGTCTTGTGTAATGGCATGGAGGGGTGTCAAAACGCGAACTGATACATGCAGTTGCGGATCGCAGATTGTGGCACGCCAGTCGGCAAGGCATGAATATATAGATTATAGAAGATATGTGTTATTAGAGCTTGTAAGAGAGGCAAGGAATGTTAGTGATGTAATCTGCCATTCAAGATCATATAAAAAAAAATTCCGGCTTCGTCAGGACCGAACCCCCGACCTTCCGATCCGCAGGCGAGCGTCTAGTCCCTTCACCGTGGAGGCTGTTTGAACCAATGTTTCCAAAATAAGTGCGCGGTGTTCTGGTAACACACGACCTCCTGCAGAATGTCTACTGCCAGAGGTCACGTAGTAACATAAATTGTTCCGTCCAATTGCGACCTGGCAAAATACTTGATTTAGTAATTCTTGAAGGTGATACGTTTAGTGTTTGGAGTCTCAAGTGTTGTTCGTGTGCTTGTCAAGAGCCGAACATTACAGCAAACAGGGCTTTTCCGTAAACGCTTCATCCACATCCTCAGTAGCTGGAGCAAATTTCCAGTAATAATGGTGTCAATTTTAGTTTGATTATAACTTCTTCTTGTCTATGCTCTAGACCAGTGGTTTTCAGAATGTTTTCAGATAGCACTCCTTTTATATATATATATATATATATATATATATATATATATATATATATATATATATATATATATATATATATATATATATATACACACACACACACACACACACACACATATATATATATATATATATATACACATCTTGAAAGATCTGAACATCAAGAAAGATTGGCTAATAAACTTCATCCTGTCTCGGAAGCTGAAATATTTTGGTCGGATCAAGCGCCACAACGGATTGGAAAAAATTATAGCAGAAGGCTTAGTACTAGAAAGGAGGGGCAGGGACCGACCAACACGAAGATGGGCACAGGATATAAGTGACTTCTTGTGTATGAAAGTACATAAGGTGGAAGAACTGGCGAGAGACGGAGTTTCTTTCAAGCAGACCATGATGAGAGCGACGTTCTGCAAAGGACCTGCTTCATGATAATTATAATTTTATATATATATGTATATGTGTGTGTGTGTGTGTGTGTGTGTTTGTATATACACACACATATATATAAATGTATATGTGTGTGTTTGTACACACACACACACACACACACACACACACACACATATATATATATATATATATATATATATATATATATATATATATATATATGTTATATAAATATAACATAGTCCAGGACTTACAACCATATGTTAAAACTGGAAAAATAGGAGAAAAATAGTAGCAAGCAAGAATTATTTTTCTAACCTTCAATGGCAAAGATGTATTGCATAAGATGTTCTTTATTTTATAAAATGCAGGTATTGCCTGTCGCCTGTGCTCTTTTCGACAGTGGCGAGGAAAGTATCTCAAGTATCTTTATGTCTTCTTTAATAATGTTACAATTTATAGCCGACTTTTCTTGATTTTCGCCCCGGCACCCTTGGCATACGCACCCAGTTTGAGAACCTTTGCTGTAATGCCTCGGTCGAGTCAGCAGGCGGGATCTTGCCAGATGCTGTACCACGCAACCGGGTCGCATTTTTCCCGCTACTACAAACTTATTTCAGTCCATCGCAGTGTATGCAGAAATGAATGTAAGGTAACCACTATTCGTATTCGGCCCGACCGCAACTATTCGGCCGAATACCGAATAGTCATTCGGTCAACTATTCGGCCCCGAAGCGACTACGAAGCGAATATTCGGTACAGCCCTAATATATATACACACAAATATGACAAGCCCACATGCCCCCCTTCCCACTTAACCTATTATTAAGTACACACGTTAACCTAGATTAGATGCGTTCCTTGGGACTCATGGAAGTCCCAAGGAACGCATCATACTTTCATAGGTTCCTACATAGAGGTCCAACGAACGCAAGATGCGTTGGTTTTACGTCTTTCTTGACTACCCATTTGGGCCTCTGATGATAAACTCCCTGGGACTCAGAGAATTAATAGATTGTTCCTTTGAAGTCGGAGTGCATCTGCCGGAGAGGCAAGGAACCAACAGTCTGCATTCAAGAGAATGAGATCTGTAAAACTGATGCACACGCAACACTCAGGTTCTCTAGCAGGACTGCAGTTCAGTAGTGGACCTGCCGCCAGAGTTTACAGCTGGTGAACGCGAAGAAGAAGAAGAAGAATATATTGTTTTTGTGGCAGATGTACAAACTCATAAAAAACGTCCTGCGCTTTTTTTTTTTTTTTTTTTTTTTTTTTTTTTTGAATTCAGCTTTCACAAATATTTCATTTATAATTAAAATTAAAATTGTTTAATGTATACAAATGCACTCAATTTCAAAATTGCATGAGGCCCCTTGAAACTCTCTTGTTCCCCCCCCCCCTCTTTTTCTTCTCCTTTTCTCATGGGGCGCACCGTCAAGTTGAAAACCACCGCTCTAAGCATTGAGAATCTCTAGTTACAAACATTTACACCATTCTTTCTAGACATTGTGTTTGTCTTGCCTTTTCCCCCAAAAACGGGATGACTACAGATTCTCTGGTCCTCCTATTTGTATCATTTTATCTAGACACGTTTTCGTCGTATTTACAGTGATAACTGTTTGCACACTATCGCCTATAATGTTCCTTAAAATTAGTTTTAACACTTTTGTGTTACCATAATGATTACGTGAATTAGAATGAGCTTATAAATATACTGTTTGTTTAGGACTGCTAAGGTGTAATGTATTAACTGTGTGGGACAGAATCACTGGTATTCGAAAGTATAAGACAAAAAAGATGGTAGTAGTAATTTAACAACAATATCTTGTTTAACCCAATAGACACGAACACACGAAAAAAAGTGACGCGATACTGAGTACCTTCTGAGAAGAAAAGAGCATCGCATCACCATTCAGGCACTGAAATGGGACACAAATGGACGATACAGAGAAACTCTAAATCGAACGTTCACGAGACAGGCCAAATTTTTTAAGCTGGATTTTATAAACTTTGTTCTTCTTCGATCCTTCTGTCAGAAACCTTATATCAGGAGGCCGGTAGCCTTTACGAAAGCTATCGTGCAATCCACATCTTCTCGTGTACCATACAGTTTTGTCTTCATTGTGGTTGGGACAGACCAGATTGCGTCTCTGTTGTCAGCATACAGTTGACAGTGTTGGAGCACATGCTCAGCATTTTCGGGTGCCACGTCTCCGTGTTTCCTACACCGACAAGTTTGAACATATGTTAACGACAAGTTTGAACATATGTTAACGAAGTCTGTTGTGCCCCTTTCATCAGTTTGAATACAACACCATGTCTCTCTCTAAAGAGGTTTGTAAAGGGTTAGGAAATTATAGGGAAGAGAAAAAGTTGGTAAGAAAAAACAAACAGTTTATGTAAGCTTTACCAAATCGATCACAATAAACAAACAAAGGACGTTGCGGCGATTAGCCTTCATCAGCACATAAAGAACAATACAGTACACATACACAAATATGCTCTAACTATAAAGTGACTACATGGGACTAATGTACAAAATAAATGATACTCATTTGTGTCCCTGGCTAAAAACTTCCTTCAAAAAGATGTCACGACAGGTACTGGAGTGTTTATCATCCAACGCACGGACGGGGAGAAAAGAACGGGTTCACTATAACGAGGAAATGGACGGAGTAGACGCCCTCAAACAGCGTACACTGAGTGTCTAAAGAGGGAGGGAGGGGTTGGCCAATAAAGCGTGACCCGGGTTGGGTCGTGGGGATGACATCGGTCCATCTCATGGAATAAGAGTGGTGCCTGTGCTAACGAACAAAAATACAACAGACAGGCAGGTAGGCCGGCAGACAGACAGACAGACAGACAGACAGACAGACAGACAGACAGACAGACAGACAGACAGACAGACAGACAGACGGATGGATGGATGGATGGATGGATGGATGGATGGATGGATGGATGGATGGATGGAGGCATGGATGGATGGATGGATGGATGGATGGATGGTGGATGGATGGATGGATGGAGATGGATGGTAGATAGATGGATAGATAGATAGATAGATAGATAGATAGATAGATAGATAGATAGATAGATAGATAGATAGATAGATAGATAGATAGATAGATAGATAGATAGATAGATAGATAGATAGATAGATAGATAGATAGATAGATAGATAGATAGATAGATAGATAGATAGATAGATAGATAGATAGATAGATAGATAGATAGATAGATAGATAGATAGATAGATAGATAGATAGATAGATAGATAGATAGATAGATAGATAGATAGATAGATAGATAGATAGATAGATAGATAGATAGATAGATAGATAGATAGATCGTGGATGGTGGGGTGAATGGAGGAGTATGGTGGGATAGATGGGCGGGTAGACAAATGATGAAGCGAGCCTTGAGGATGATATTGAAAGGACTGCACACGATAGAAGGAAATAACGTAAATAGGTCAGTGTGAAGCATTATGGGACAGAATAGTAACTGGGACAGAGAGGGATAACATATCTAGCAACTGGCGGGAACAAAACAGCGGTCAGCCAATGTCAGGGTAAAGGTCCATTTTCCACGCCTTCAAGTGTATTGAGCATTCAGGGCTAGACCGATCGGCACTCGGTGGATGATGGGTCAACAGCATACCAACCGCCTTTACTTCCCAGGACTATACCTGGTACCCACTCAAGGCTGGGTCGACCTGGCGCCAAAGTCAGTTTT